GTATTTGATTGCTCCTATATATATATATATATATATATATATATATATATATAGAGAGAGAGAGAGAGAGAGAGAGAAAGAGAGAGAGAGAGAGAGAGAATACGTCTCAAATGCAGCCTATTACATTTTTACAACCAATGCTACCGAATCAATTGAGATATTTATGAAAATGATGAGAGTTCATTTATTTATTATTTGAATATTTATGAAATATGACTAGGATTCATTAATTATGATCAATGCTTTATATTAGAAAACAATAAAAACTTTTATGAAATCACATATTCATCAAATTAAACGGATGGTTGAGATTGAGTTGTATTGGTTGTACAAATGTAAATGGTTGCATAATAACTCATATATATATATATATATATGTATATAAGATTATGTGTTTACATGTTATTGATGAACATGGATGAGACATGGAAATATTGAACATGCGTTTTTTATCCAAAATTTTTGTGCAGAAGTTTTGATTTTTTAGATTTTCAAATGAAAAAGAATTACAGTGTTGAAAAGAGTTATTTAATTCCGTTGAAGTATTTAAAACGCTATAAACGTTGTTAATGATCAATCTTTACTCGTTACATTGTACAATTCAATGACTAAGCAAAGTTTGTGTAGGTAGAAGGTATCATAATTGCACCGAACACTATTTGGTACGTAGGCGTTTAATTGTACATCAGATTGTGAATTGTGGCCCAGATTGCTCATGGGACGTACATACGCTTGGACCTTGTATTATTTAACATAACATCTTACTTTATACTGCATATCTAGTTATAATATTTTGTGGGGTTATCCCACAACAAAGGAATCCAATGAAGATGTGTTAATCTAAAAGTCCACTTACCGGTCAGACTAATGTCAATATATAATCATCGATATGTAAGGCCGTCTACTCGTATGTTAAGTACGAGTTTTTGAGCAGGGTCCCAAAATTTTAGTTATGTTTGGGAAATGATTTATACATGCTTGTGAATCAAGCTCAATGAAAAAGCCTATCTAATTTAAAAAAAAAAAAAACGGCTATTTAATTTCCGAATTCTCCGATCAAAACAAAAAAGACTCTTCGATATTCTTCTTTCTTTATTATTTTAAACACTTTTTGTTTTTTTTTATTTGTAAGAATTTTAGTATGATATGAACTTTTATGTTTTATTTTGTTTATAACTCATTTTAGATGATTTATAGTTTTAGCACATGTATAACTGGTGAAACAAGGCTTGCAAAAAGATTTAGAAGGGAGGAATTACCTAAAATGACCATTTTATGCATGGTACGCTGACAAAATAACAACTTTTCGGAGATTTTTCATAAAATGACCACCAGAATCGCCTTGGGAGGGCGATTTTGACTATAAGGTACAGATAGGTCCCACATGTATATCATTTGGGGAACAAAAATCAGATATTATATCTGATATATATGAAATCACCCGCATTTTGTCCAAATCTCCCCGATTTTGACCTCTATTCATTCTTCTAGTAAAGACAACTTATGACGCAACGATTTGACACATCAATGACGATTTGACGAGACATCGAAGGCTAAATATATTAATCTTGTGGTATTCTCGATAAAATTGTAATGATCTAAACACTTCTATTCTCGCAACCCTTAACCCTTAAACACATCTACCATCACAACCCTTAATACAAATATGAAATCACGTCAAAGTGATAATGGTTCCATGCATATTCAAAGTGGCAGGTTAAAGGTTGTGAGAGTAGAAGTGTTTGGATTATTACAATTTTATAGAAAATACTACAAGATTTATATATATTACTTATGGTCTTAAAAAAAACAAAATACCAATGAAAATCGCCCTCGATGTCTCATCAAATCGTCATTGATGTGTCAAATCGTTGCGTTATAAGTTGTCTTCATTATAAGACGAAATATAGGTCAAAATCACCCCATGGGAGCGATTTCATTTTTTAACGGCGATTTGCCCATTTTCAGATATAGTATCTAATTTTTGTCTCCCAAATGGTCATGTGAGACTCATACGTACCTTATAGTCAAAATCGCCCTCTAGGGGCGATTTTGGTGGTCATGTTATGAAAAAGCTTCAAAAAATGATTATTTTGTTAATGTACAATGTATAAAATGGTTATTTTGGGTAATTTCCCTTTAGAAGACCCTGTTGATCATCTGATGCTCCCTATTTACCGAGTATTTTGCACCTATTTATGCATAG